AACACAAGGGGATCCCAGGTTCATTATTAGTGGGGTCCTTTATCCCATATGGGAAGTCCGGGACCGTCCCTCAATGTTTTTTCGGTCTGCGTTTGTGGAGCGCATCCCTGCTGGAAAAAAAACAGCTAAAAACAGCCTAAGCCTTCTTTAGGTGGTCAGCAGGCTGGTTTTAGAGGGGTTTTGACCACTTCTTTAGCTGGTCAGGCTGGGAAACCAGTTAAAACCAGCTAAGACCAGCCAACTGTTTTTTTTTTTTCAGCAGGGGTGTGAGGCTCTGGAGAGGTGGATCTTGTTTTAGTTCAGCCCGAGGCTCTTTTTAACTAAAGGATTAGTAACCTAAATGAGCACTGTGGGACTCATTCACCTCCCCGTCTGTCATGCAGACATGAGAGAGAGCTGCGTGTCTCAAACAGGTTGCGTTCAGGTACCTAAACTATTTTCATATTGCAGTGCAGTGATTTCACTATACATGCAATTCATCAGGTGTGTTTAAAGGGATAGTTCACCCAAAAATGAAAATTCTGTCATTAATTACTCACCCTCGTGTCGTTCCAAACCTGCAAGACCTCCATTCATCTTCGGAACACAAATGAATATTCTCCAAAATGGCACCAGGGTGACGCTGTTACAGCTTTAATAACAGTCTGTCAGCGGCTACAGGTAGCCTAATATCATCTCTTGAGATAAAGGACCTCCTGCTGTGTGACATACTTCAACTTTCAGGACTCAAATTTCATCCAGACCCAGATTTACTAAAGGTAAACTGCAAAACTCCTTGTGAAATGAGTTAAAAACTGTCAACTTAAAAGAAAAAAAAAAAAAAGCGACATGCCAACCTCAAGCAACATGTGCGCCTATAATTACAGCAGATGTTTTACAAGTGGCTGATGTTATAGGGCCAGGGTGACGCTGTTACAGCTTTAATAACAGTCTGTCAGCGGCTACAGGTAGCCTAATATCATCTCTTGAGATAAAGGACCTCCTGCTGTGTGACATACTTCAACTTTCAGGACTCAAATTTCATCCAGACCCAGATTTACTAAAGGTAAACTGCAAAACTCCTTGTGAAATGAGTTAAAAACTGTCAACTTAAAAGAAAAAAAAAAAAAAGCGACATGCCAACCTCAAGCAACATGTGCGCCTATAATTACAGCAGATGTTTTACAAGTGGCTGATGTTATAGGGCGCTCTTAAAAGTTTTTTTTTTTTTTTCAAAATATGCATGTATAAATATTTTAGTTTTTATAAACATAACAATAGTGCAAACACAGCACATCTCCAGCAAAAGTACATATTACACAAGTACAATCAATTTTGCATAATGTATCATTCCCACATAAACCAAAAAGGAAGAGGAGAAAAAAAAAGCACAGCAAAACAGGTATCAATTGTCAATCAAAGATCTCATCATATTTCTTCAATAAAAGAAATATTTTTTTTTATTATTAATTGTTCTTAGTGATTTGATTAAATGTACTTCACAAAAGAAATCTATAAGAGTAGGTATTTTCTTAAGAAAGTTTTGTTTGTGAGAATAGGGCTCTTAAAAGTGACTGATGTTTCGCTCTCTGCCATGTACTGTTGGTTTCTATTCATATTTTGAATCAGGTTTTATTTTGCGATTTCATTTTAACTGGAATAAAATGTTTATTAAAAATTTAAATTAGACTAAAAATTAACTTAGATTTTTTGTTTTTGGCTATAAAGTATGTCTATAAAGTTTTTATTTTAGTACTTAAAGTGAAACTAAATGAAAATAAGAAATAGCTAAAGTAACAAATAATATGTTATCTAATGGTTTAGTTTTAAACACAAAAAGCTAAATTTGTCTTACATATGCAAAACATAATTTCTTGTTTTTATTCTTTGACTTTGGGGTGACAAAGTTAAGTCTCACCCTGCTGAAAAAACCCCCAGCTAAAACCAGCCTAAGCTCTAAGACCAGCCTGACCAGCTATGACCAGCTAAGACCAGCCTGATCAGCTAAGACCAGCCTGACCAGCTATGACCAGCTAAGACCAGCCTGATCAGCTAAGACCAGCCTGGCCAGCTATGACCAGCTAAGACCAGCTATGACCAGCCTGACCAGCTAAGACCAGCCTGATCAGCTATGACCAGCCTGACCAGCTAAGACCAGCCTGACCAGCTATGACCAGCCTGACCAGCTAAGGAAGTGGCCAAAACCCCTCTAAAACCAGCCTGCTGACCAGTTATGACCAGCCTAGACCAGGCTGGATGACCAGCTAAAACCAGCCAACCAGCTTAGGCTGGTTTTAGTTGGTTTAAAAAGTTAAGTCTTCTGATTAGCCTGATGCTTTTGTCCAAGTAGAAAGCACTGTAGGCTGTATTAAGTCACTACTGGTCTGGAGGACTGGGAAAGTGTCCAGCAGTGATTGGTGGTAAATGTGCTGCTGAAAGGCGCATTGTTGCATTACTGAGACCTGTGACAAAACAACCGGGCAGAAGGTGAAAGAATGACGGAAGAGAAACTGTACACCCCTCTCCCTCTCTCTCTCTCTCTCTCTCTCTCTCTCTCTCTCTCTCGCCAGTCGTCTGTGACCATATAAGGCAAAAACAGTGAGACTCGCTGATCAAGCGCCGCTGCAGAATTCCTGCTCTCTCATTTCTTTCACACACTCCCTTGCTCGTATTTAATGACTTTTTCTCAGGCTCTTTGACTTTAAAGCAAAAAAGTGCTTATTTGCGTTGTTCTTGCTAGGCTACACCTCAGATGCTAATGATAAGGCTTTGTGTGTTTATTCAGCTATAGTTAGTGGAAGACGGCTGTCCCCAGATGTTTGTCTGAAGCTAACCGACACTACAAGACTCGAGCTGCTCGCCTTTGATATGTGCTCTTGTAGTACACTTGTAGTTTCAAATCTGGCCGACTAGCCTTAAAGTGTGCACACTAGTGAGAAAGCAGCAATAAACAACAGCCAAACAGATAGAGCGCTGCAGTGACAATGTTTTTTTGTTTTTTTTTGTGTGCCAACTTGGGTGTTGGATGAGTTTTTTTTCCCTTTGGCTTTTTGCAGAAGATAAGCTCAGTGACCAACAAAAGTTTATGATTCTTACACATCTTCCCCCGGTTTCACAGACAAGGCTTAAGGGTCCGATTAAACTTGGAGGGTCCGCAAGACCCTCCAGCGGACAGTGAACACAGCTGCAAAGATCATCGGTGCCCCTCTCCCCTCCATCCTGGACATTTTCCTTACACGATGCTCCAGCAAAGCCAACAGTATCGTGAAGGACCCCACCCATCCCTCCCACAGTCTTATATATATATAGTATATTTATAATCAAAATCAGTCAGTAGGTTAGTTGTGTATAGGTTTTTACTGCTTTACTGTATAGGTTTTTACTGTTTTACTTCATTGTTGTGTGCCTGTATTTATGTAACACCGTGGTTCTGTGAGGCACGACATTTCGTTCCACTGTATGTCCCCACATGCAGCAGAATGACAATAAAGCTCAACTTGACTTGACTTGACTTAAGCCTATAGTCCTAGACTAAAATGTAAGTCTGAGCTGTTTCAAAAGAAAGTAACTTGCACTGACTGATCTTGAAATATATTGTTGCCTTTGTTTTGTCTCAAGATGCACACCAGTAATGTTTTTTTCTAAGCACGTTTATGAAAATTGCTTAAATGTCTTAATTGAACTATATAATCCTGGCTTAGTCTAAGCCCCGTCTGTGAAACCGGGCCTTTGTTTATCATGATAATCTTAAACTTTTTAAAATTTTGAAGCCTAAATAAAATGCTAAATGTGGCTGTAATGAACTACACCACGACTGCATGACTCCAGCGTCACCATCATTAAGCTTCTGACAGCTCTTTCAGTCTTATTTAAAAACATTTCCCCTGAAAGTTTGAGTTAGGATAGTTTATGAGTACGATTATAAACACAATGAGGCTGTGAAAGCAACTTGCATTACAAGTAACATGAGTTATGTAATCAGATTACTTTTTAAGTAAAAGCTTTAATATGAAAAATATCTAGTGAAAATAAAAATATCTTCAGCTAATGTTAACCACAGACCTTATTTCAGGCATTTAACCAAAAACCCATTAAAAAAAGTGGAAACGCTGCTATTGACCCCAGGACAATGAAAGCAGAAGTGCTAAAACGCAACTCGTTTCCAGCTTTTGGCCTACGTCATCCCTGCAGCACTCTACTGTGAGAGAGTGCAAAAGTATTTTTAAATCATATTTTTTAAATATTAATAAAATATAGCCTAATATTTATTTTATTGTTACTACAAATTAATTTTTTTAAATATATTTTTAAAAATAGTTCAAACTAAATTTTTTTTTATTTTAAATGAATTTATTTAGTAATGCAAATATGTACAATTTAAATCCATAAATACATTTTTCTTCCCGATTCATTATGATTTTTCCCATTTTGTGCAAATCAGTGTAAAATCAAAGACCTTACTTCATATAATTTGATGACAAAACATCCATACAAATGATCTACAAATAAATTAAAGTATGTTTTCAGAAATTTTATTTAGGGTTTGGTCTGTGGTGATTACAATTAACTTCATATATATATGAACAATAGCAGTATATAAATCTTTATTATATGGTTATGTAAAAGCTAATAGATGTGACTAAGTGTGAGTATCTGAAACACTAAATAGCACTAATCCAGCTGGTGTTTACAGTAAATATCTATATTTGCATATGCATTATTTGTCATTTAAACAGTCTTTGAATCTGATACTCTCTTAGCCACACAGTTTTTCTTTTCCATAACAGCCTGTGATGTGTCACAGAGGGTATTTCTGTGTGAGGGGGGCAGATTTCACAAGAAAAAGGAACTTCTGGAAAACATTCCCGAAGCGAGTGAGTCAACAAGCGTCTTATCATGCTTCCTGCGCGTTCACTGCTCTTGTGTCGATGCTGATGTTTTGAATTATTCCGAGGCTTTGCTTGGAGCCATTTAAGGACAAACACACACAAACGCGAGCGCGTAGATAGAACAAAAACTAGAGCAATAAACAGAAACGCCACGGTGGGTAAACAATTCTGGCAAGGATAACTCATTTAAGGTGGATTAAACTCACAAATAAGTTCTCAAACACACTGTAATGTAAGGTGAGGTCGCTGCAGCGCCGGCATTCACAGAGAAAGTCTATTTGTGTGCCATAATACAGGAACACACCCAGAGCCGGGACACACCCAGACCGGGCGGCGCACAGACTGCAGGAGTCAAGCGGGTCAAACCCACGGGAGGAGGAGAAGAAAGAGAGAGAGAGAGAGAGAGAGAGAGAGAGAGGTCATAAGTGACCTTATTTGGTAATCTATCTGTCTCTCTCTCGCTCTGGCTGTCTCACTGCATCTGGCATCGCTCAGTCAGAGACCTTTGACTTTGCGTTTGAAAGTCCTGTAGTTGCCCAATCGGCTGAGTGAAAGGCCCGAGAGCGGTGTTTGATTCTTCCGACACATCGATTCAGGGCGACTGCAGGCTTCCACAAACATTCCTTACACGCTGATAAAATACTCCCGGCAGGTCTTTCCGTCGTTTTCCCTGGATCCTAATTCCGCATTCCTCGGATACCTCAGTCGAGCGTGCAGCCTGGAGACGCTCCAGCATGCGATCATTCATGCGGATCGCTCATAGTTCACAAATCAGACACTGAGTCACAAATCACTCAGTGCTCGTCTATAGCACACATTTGCATTTGTATTTATTTTTTTTAATCCAAAACAATTTGCAAGTGAGAAATAATCCATTAGTTAATATTCAATTTGAACTGTATACATAAATAATGCACAATACATAATTTGACAATAATGTAATGATGCCATATAACAGAGCAGACAGACACCTGATCAAAGCTTCCGCGTAGATTTATTTTAGTACTTGTACAGTAAGATGTGCAGATATCGTTCAGGTTTTGCGTGTTTGCATGCTTTTATCTTGATTTTTCATGTTTGGGATGTTTTGAATGAGTGTTAATTTGTGTTTACAGTTCACAGCAGCAAAGCGGTTAATCCAGTTTAAATATTCAGAATTTAATATAACAATAAGATAGATAGATAGATAGATAGATAGATAGATAGATAGAAAACTAGAGCAATAAATAACAGAAGATAAATGATTGCTAGACAGACCAAAAGATAGATACATAAGATCTGTGATTATACTAAAATAAACTTTTAAAGTAGTAAAATAAACTATGTAAACATAAATATTTGAATGGAAATAGTAAAATAAAATTGTCATATTGTGGAATGCATGTCAACACTGGCACTCATTATTTATTAAAAGAAAGTGTTTGTGAAGAAATTTCCTGATTCCAGACATTCTTCTATGTGTGTGTGTGTGTGTGTGTGTGTGTGTGTGTGTGTGTGTAAACACGGTCCGGCGACTTATATGGTCACAATAGCCCAAAGTCGCGCACATACCTCAGACATTAAACACATACGGGCCCCTGCGGCCCAACTATTTCAAGTTCACCCTGTGACGCGAACTTTGCCGCTCCGACACGCCCACACATCGCTCGCGATTGGCCGAGGCGCTCGGGAATGCAGAGCAAGCGGGCTGTGATTGGCGGCGGGGCAAGGCGATTGGCGGTGACGCGCAGAACAGACCCCGCCCTCCCGGGACCGCACCCCGAACCATTACAGCAGGACGCAGTTCAGCTACCGAGTGGAAGAAGAAGAGGAAGAAAGGAGAGAAAAAAGAGAAAAGAGAGAACGAGGCGAAGGGAGCAAACTTGTGCGCAGTTTCTGCGGATTGAAAAGGGAAGCGACACGGATCCACACTGAGTCCCTGGAGTTTCTGACAAGCCGAACTCCGAGCGTCTGCATCTGATTAGCAGGTAACCAGCCGCACGGCACCGGGTCGAGTGTTGCGTTCACCCGCGGGCGCAGGACGCGGCGAGCAGAAGCAGGAAGCGCGCAGAGCGCCGCGACCTGATTTCGCTGCACTTTCAAACTTCTGTGCGTGAAATCGCAACGCTTCATCGTTATAGCGTGCAACTGATAAGCTGTGACACGCGTCAAGATCGGCCAGGACAGACGAGCGGTGAGTTTCAGGAACACCGCGTTACGCGGAAATGCACCGATGCCTTAGAAGAACGTTATTTATTCAGAAACCATTGATGCCTTTGGGAAATGCAGGCCAGAACAATGCTTATCGGAGGACAGAAAAAAACATATGTTTGAATTATTTCACAATAAATAAAATGAAATTGTAGCCTACATAGTTTGAGCAATTACATTTATTTAAATTGAACGTTAAAAGTTCATATCCATCACGTTCTATTCTGTAACGTTAATATAAATCATACACTGTCAGAATAAAAGGTTGCATTTTATGTGTGCAACAGCCTGTCACTGGCAGTCCCTTACGAAAATGAACCAAAGTGACCATAGTTCAGCTACAGTATTTGTAGATTTCCATGGTTACCACTAAAGTAAACATATTTTAACCATGTGTAAACAAAAATAACCTAATAATTTGCAGTTAAGGCGTATTGAATGTTCAAATGCATTTCAAATATAACGTTAAGTGGATATCATTAATCATTGTACTCTTAGTAATTTAATAATTTTCATAATTTCAAAGTTCAGTTTAGAAGTCGACAACTACAAGTACGACGATATCGACGATACTGGCCTTTAAACGTATCGGTATCTATCGAAAATAAAATAAGTGGCATCGCACAAGTTTAAAAACAAATGAGTTTGTGTTGTACTTTAAGGAAGACTTCATTTAAAACAGCTTTGCGAAATCTCTTTCAGAAATCTCAGGCGCTTAACATTTGTGCCTTTAACTTGATTATTCACACAATGACAGGAAAATGGGATGAAAATAACAGGATGTTAGTCGTGGAGTGATTGACATCTGCGCCATGGACTGATTTGATTATGATTTGTTAGGGTTTAAAATCACACCCAAGTCTGTGTCTAATCCACTTGTGACCTCTCAGATTCTCACCGATATGAGTGTGTACAACAGTCTCGGCCATCGTTACAGTGATATACTTGTGTCTGCATGTTCATGTAGTTATTAACGGTGTGCTAATGTGCACATACTGCTGGTGTGAACGTAGACTAACCAGTTTCACTTTCTTAGACGTCTGCACTGAAGTAGACACCTGGGCAGTGTGTGTGCGTGTGACCTGGTTTTCCGCGAGCGAGTGTGTGTGTCTAGGACGCTGTGACCCATTAAAAGCACATGCTGGTCTTATTCGGCGTTTTGTTTTAGTTGCTCTGGTTTGTTAATCCCAGCACACCGCTTATGTTTGGGAATGCTAGCATTTCTGCAGCATTTATCCTGTGCACAGTACTGGTGCGTCCAAGTCATGCCACAAAGATCAGGTTTACGTAACCATGGTCGAACGTAACCTCAACGTCGTAATTACGAGTGGGGAAACGGTTATCCTTGTGCCGACTAAACCGAATTGAACGCACCTGACGTCGTAATTACGACTTGTCAACTCGTAAGTACGAACGTCCCAGGAGGACTTGAACGCAGCATGAGCCCAGAGTTTCCATGTTGGGGGGCGTGTCAGTGAGAAAACATGGCGGACGCAATGGATGCGACGTCTGTTGTTTGACTGTAATTTTGTCGCAATGTATAAAACTGCTATCTTTTTAATTTACAATAAAACTATCCAAGTTGTGTATTGTATACTTACAATAGAATATACAACAGTTAAGTTTACAGCAGCTTCATAAATTGACCAAAGTGACTTGAATGCATCAGGTGTTGTAATTACGACTTCCCAACTCGTACGTACAAACTTCCCAGGCTGACTTGAACATGCACGCATTACCTGAATTCATGTTTTCCAACAGTAGAAAGCGAATGCCTGAATGAGCTGAGAAGTGACAAAACCATTTTATCTCTTGTTTTGAGCCATTATTTTATCAGACTGTCAAAAATGAGGACATTTTGCAATACAATTGGTTAAAAAAATGCAAAATGACCATATTTATTTCTAAATGTTCAAAGTTGTAAATAAAACAGATTATTGGAGCACATTTTTTTAAAGAAAACACTATTTCAGTCTTTAAACGTCCAAATTGTACTTTAATTTAATGTTAATTGCCATTTAGTTGCAATTATTTGTGGCATTTACTAGCAATTTCTGAGTAAGTAAATCCTACACCACATTTTTCCAGCGTACCATTTCACATGCTGTTTTTTTAGAGATAGTGAGCCGTGTAGAGCACTGTAACCTGAAAAAACTACAACAGTGTGCTTTCAGAGTAGAATAAAGAAAGAAGTCATGCATTACAGTGATTTTTATCATGTGCAAAGGGTCTTAGTCCCAATGCAAAGCCTGCTAAAATCAGGCTGTTTAGAGTTACTTGTTGCTTTTATAAAACAGTGACAGCAGCAATATAATAAATAAACAGTAAAAATATATTTAACACTGGATCAAATTTAGAAATGATCTCTGATATATATATATATATATATTAATAAATAAACACAAATAAGAAACATAATTAACACTGAGACATTCCTCTGAAATATCATGTTTTGTGTTCCACCTAAGGAAGTCATTTATTAATGATATCAATTTAGTAAAATTATTTATGAATGTATTGATTATTTTAATTAAGAAATAATTTGAAATGTATTTATAAGATTTAATTATAATAATAAAGTATGATAATACATATAAAAATATATTGTATTAAATGTAATAATTAATAAAAAAGTGAATTTTCAACTAAATTTTCAATCTAATACAGACAGAAGAGTGAAATTGATATGCATTATTATATTTTATTATTAAAAAATAAATATAAATAAATTCAATTATAAAAAATAGAAATATTATTGAATTATATTACATTAATATTTATTTAAAAAGGATAATTTGAATTCAGTAATAAAAAAAAAATATTATTAATAAATAAATGACAGAGAACATTTCCAAATTTGATGGAGTGTTGAAAAATTTGATTGTTAATTATTGTTTTATATGTATACACGCATTATTAATAAAGTATCAAATAGTGTCATAATCAGCAAAGACTACACAGTTACATTCATTAGTAACCGTAATTGTGATGAACTATATTTATAGGCTGTTGTGTCTTCCGTAAGGCATTTTTTGCAGATCTTTCTGCATGCGTTCCTCAGGAGACTCGCGCGTTTAATGACTGTTTCCTGAGCTCTGGCGTGTCTTTCAGCAGCTGTGGGATCAGCGCGGGGAAAAAAGCACAGCGCTGTGAGATCGACATGTGTGGACCTGCAGCACTTTATCCAGCTTCAGGTGCTGTTTATGCGCTCAGAGCCCCACGGCATTGTGGGTAAAGCAGGGTTTGATGTGCTGATTATCGTCTGCGATCGGTATGAGCTCTGATCTCCGGCGTGATGCATGTATTTCCTCTCGTCTCATCCCGTCTTTCTCTGTGTTTTCAGAAAACACAGACTCTGGAAGTGAAAATCCCATTGTTTCCCTCCAGAGAGCTTTGTTGTTGTTGGTTTGTGTGATGACATCATTCTCAGTGCTTCATGGGATGCGACGCTCATTAAAGGGAGAGTTCAGCTGAAAACAATCATTTATTCACCCGCATGCTCAGAACGTGAAAGAAGATATTCAGAAGAATCTTATGCTTAAATATCAGAGAAATATCAGAGACCAGTGAAGTCAGTGGTGCAGGAATTCAGTATTATTTAATATAATAATACATATATATATATATATATTGTTATAACTTAATATGCATTACTAGAGTTGTATTATTAAATATTATTAATAAATTAAATTATATGTATTTTATTAAAGTAAATGAATACAATTTCATTTACATTACTTGCATTTAAATAAGTAAATTGATATACAGTAAATTAATGTACATTCATTATTAATAAATAAATTACTTTCTTGAGTAAAACACAAAATGAAATATTTTGAAGAATATTTTTCTGTTTAAGTATGCTTTATAGATATATAATTTTCAAAATCTATATATATATATATTAGAAATATTAGGAAT